AGCTTCGATATGAAATTCTTTTTCACCCATATTTCCACCGTCAAATGCTTCATACACACCATACTTCTCCATGATTTTTGGCAGTAGGCTTATCAAGCCTGGCAGAAATTCAGCAATATCTCGCAGTGACTCACCTTTTCTGCATTTAGAGTTATACACTTTCATCATCTTGGCAGCTAAATCAAGATAAACTAAGACCCAGTGGTTTCCATTGTTCACTGGCATGTACACAAAATCTACTTCAGACCATGCACTAGACAACTCCCCTCTAGTTCACCTTGTCCAAAGTAATCTTGTTTTGTGCAATTAGATCATTCTCTCTTCTTAGGTGGGACACAAAGAAGGGGCTTGTTGCGGTGAACTTTTGAGGTAGGTTGTACTGTGCAGCTTTGTATGTTAAATAATACATTCCCACTTCTATATGTTGTTTCATAAAAATATTTATATAGTTGTTAGAGTACATTTTAATAAATAAACATATTTCAAGTAATTAATTGATCGATATGACCTCGAACTGTTCAATTAAAACATACCGTGTCGCGCAACCATTTGGTATTGGTAAACAGCTCATACAACCATGTCTTTGAATGGATAGTCATACAGTCCAACAGGAATGGCTTTCCATGCATGTGTTCATCTTGTTTCTTATATTGTATAGAGCATGTACCCCGCTTTCTATTTTTCAGCAATCTAACCTTTAAATAAGCTTCCACTTTATAAACCTCATGCTTTTCTGGCATTTGCTTTGGATCTTCAGAAAATAGACCTATGCGGTCTTCTATTACCGGAAACGAAGTGTTCTGCACCTTCTTCTTTGCCTTTTCAATCTTTCTTCTTTTCTTCTCCACTCTTCTCTGTGATGGCGTGTAGCGTTCCGGAGACCTAGGATTCCTTTTAGATCTTTTTACAGCTGCAGCATGAGCAGTCACAATCACGGATAGAGGTTATGGTTCTTTGTAAACCATTATAATTTTACACTGCATGATCATGTATCAGTACACTTTGAATTTTATATACTATGACTGCAAAAGAATCATACATATGCCCATTAGTTACTGACATGTGTGTGAGGTTATTTAGTTTTGACATTAAATATCAACTACACATTATTACTGTCAATATATTATGCATACAGATATAGAATATTATTGCCATTCCATTTCAGTACATATAATATTTGACAGTCATCACCTACTATGTGTTACTGTCAACTTGATACATATTGATTTTCTATACTGTCATGTTTGACAGCATCAGATATTTGGTAATACGCAATAAGTGCATCACATTACTGTAAAAAATCTATGTAAAAGAGATATACCTCATTGGTAGCACTGGCTTCTTCATTCTTTGAATTTGTTTCTAGTTTCCTTTCAATCTCTTCCATTTCCTGCAATATATTCAAATATTAATAAAAAATATATGAATATGTATTGAACAAGTTTTGAATTTCATACCATTGTGGATTCCTCAATGGTTGTTTCTGTTGACTTCTCTTTGCTCTTTTGAATGATTTTGATAACCAGTTCATCCACTTTGAGCAGCTCATCCTCATCAAAATCGATGTCATCGTCATTCAACTTTTCCCAATTCTGTTCTCCACTACCATTGCCAACATGCACCTTCTCATTTGTGTCGTGAACAACTCTCTCTTTAATAGTGCTGTCACGGGCCTCATTGAAGTATGCTAATCCTTCATCATCAGTGTTTTTTCCATGTTGTTCTTCCTGTGAAGAAAAACCAAATATGTTGAAGGATGGTCTTTGAGAATCTATCTCATTCTCAGACACTTTAGTATTCTCCTTCCCTTTTTCACCATCTTCCTCTACCATTACTTCCTTTTCGTCATTCTGCAACAATTCCTCAACATCATCAACCTCCTGCTCTGTCTCTTTATCATTCCCCTTCTCTGCATCCTTTTCAGTGCCATTATCTTTGATTTCAATGTTCCCACCTTCGCTTACTTCCTTACCTTCATCTGTCATCACATGTTTACCTTCCAACCTTTTCAGTATTCTTCTCAATAATGACCCTTGGTTTCTCTAGAGAATCTTAATCCTTGCCATATCTACCATCATGGTATCAGTCTTCTTAACAAGGTTTATCAGTAATGAATCATCTTCATCATCATCTTTCTTTTCCCTAGTGCACTGCTTTTTCAGTTTCTTTGATCCAGAACTCACATTTTTAACAGCAACACCCTTTTGAGACCTTAACTTCTTTTTATCCACCTTTGCACTTCCCTTTTCAGCCTGTTTATCATTGCATTCAGCATCTTTATCATTATCTTCCATTTCTATCTCTTCACTGGAGTCCATTCCGCCATCAAACTGCCAACGTTCTCTTTTGAAGTTCTGAAACAGTATTGCCAACTGCGGTATTTCCATCTCTTGAGTTGTTTCTTCCATTGGTTTATACTCAAAATGCAAAAAGGAACACATGATATCAATATTCAAAATATAAAATGGAATTATGTATATTCAAATATTTCAAATGATACCTCATTGTTATAAAATATCAACTTGAACAGTAGATCTAGATTTGGTTTTTTAGTAAAACCCATTTGAGTGCGCGAGGAATAACATTATATTGATCCTCTTTCAACATGCAGATCCCAGCATTACTCAGTCCTCGCAGCGTTTCAAATGCCCATATTTGCATAGCAAACATAAATCCAGGAAAGGTTACACGGTCAGACTTACCGGTTGACAGTAGCTCAACACTTTTGGCTGCATAGTTTACCAAATCATCCCATATATCTCTTCCCCGTGGATAGCTGTTAAAAGCTTCCAGATCATCCACCAGATTGACATAGTAAGAAGGCAGTGCTACTTTGTTTTGGTTACCAAATAGTCCATGCCCCAGCATATGCAATAGACCTAATTTAACACCATCATGATCCACAGTTCCCTCATCATTGTAGTTGTATCGAGTAAAAGCATATGTGACGTTTTGTCGAGACACATAGCTCTTCCCATTGAAATATCTCTTCCACAAATCCCCTTGCACACCATCTTTTATTTTTTCCCTAGCCCCATCCATCCTAAAAGATGTCACCAGAGCAAAGTCTTCTTTTGTAAATGATATCAAACTATTTCTAATGTTAAATGTGATCTTCTCAGTCTCTACTATGTGATTGACCTCCTCAACATGGTTCCCAATAAGCCCCAACAACAAATGGCCACTTACCCAAGATATAGACTCCACATCCAGTGTCCATCTAAACTCCGTAATTTCTTCTGCGCTCAAGTGAATTTTAATCGCCTTAACCACTTCTAGAATATTACAATAGCAGTTAACCCTTAATTTTTTCATCTTTGACAAGATGTCCTTTTCACGGGATCTCCTTATTGCCTATGAACATTATATTTCAATAATTAAATAATATTAACAACAATATGATGTTCTACATTCAGCATTTCAAGTCAATTAAACGACATTACATTGATCAATTCCTAAACAACACTAAGAAAGTGTCAATATTTTAAAAACAGAGCATGATGGAAATAAATTCTACGAACAACTCATGAAATTTTGAAATATGTGAACTGTCTTCACTCGTACATACACATCGAAGTTAATAAACTCCATCGCACTTGTTCTCAAGTAAAAAAACTCAATCTCACTTGTTCTCAAGTAAAAAAAAACTCAATCGCACTTGTTCTGTGCATAATATTAAACATGCAAATACAAGACATTGTAGTATCTAGAAATTAGGCTTAAAACTTACATTATTAGACCTTTTATCACACACTTTAAACTAGTTTTCGTAAATGTAAACCAGAAATACATACCAGCTTCGTGGTCATGTCGTTTCTTTGTTCTGTACTCGTCGAGTTCGTATTGTCCATTGTTCATGACAGTAATGGTGCTTGAGCCGTCGGTTCTTACTTCTCTATTCTCAGCGCCAATCTCTTTGTTGTTCTTCGAGTACATTTGCTGCGGAAGTTGGGGGGATATGGTTTGCTTCGAAAGTAGAAGAGACTCGAATAACTGCTTGAGCATTAGTGAGGCGCGTGTATATTCGGGTACGGGAAATCGTGCAACGGCGCGTATTAATTGAGGGTATACTTGTCAATTCATAGCTCATTTAGTCCCAACAAAAATTGACTTTCCAATTGGTCCCATTTTGGAATTTATGAAGCTAAATAATCCCATTTTTGGAAAATCCCAAAATTGTATGAAAATTTTCTTTATTCATAAGAGCCTATAAGTTATAATTCCCTCAATCCTATAAAATTCTTTCCACATTCTTTAAACATACCATTTTGAGAGGTGCCAAAACGTTATTTTCTTTTCCCTTATTGGAACGTTTTGTGTGACTAATTATACTCATATTTACTTTTTTTGTAGTCAATTACAGCTATACATTTTTAGTTTCTTAAACTCTGAATCAAGTCAAATCCGAAAGAACTTTACGAGGCGTAGAGGGGATTAGTTTCACACAAATAAAAAACTAAAATCATTTTTCGAAGTTTATTATATTGAGATATCAGGAAAGGTCCAAATTAATTTTAATTTATGCGAGGGAAGTATATACTTCCTCCGTTCTTAAATAAATGCAACGGTCAACATTTCACACTTGCCGAGACATAACTTTGACCATTAATATAAATGATTTTGTATTAGTAAAAAAATTAAAAAAAAATAGATTATGAAAATTTACAATGAGACAAGTTTAACAATATTTTTTTCATTAAATAATATTATTACATTAATAAATAAAACGTAATCAAAGTAGAACATATGAATAGTGTAAAAATCAAAGTGTTGCATTTATTTAAGAACGGAATATAGGACTCGTATAATATACGAGGTATGTATAAGAAAAAGGAATGAAGGCGGTGCAAAGTGGCGAAGAAGAATGTAGCTACTTGTTATGCATGCAAAACTGCTTCGACTCATGTCACACATGCACTCCAACACGTTGCGGGCATGCACCCCAAACTCCGTGGCCTATTTATATCTCCCCCCAATTCTCCTGCCTTTCATTAATCAAGTCCGGATCGGCCGGAGTCATTTTCAGAGTACAGTGCGTTAGATCCATATATGGCCACCAACCGTCCAACGCACCAACTCCAAGTTCACCCCATAGGCGGCGGCGGCGGCGGGTATGACGCCGGAATAATGAAGGGCTCTCATCAGCAGCATCACATGGGGGGTCCCACGGCCACCCAAGTTCTAACCATCGTCACTCTCCTCCCCGTCGTCGGCACCCTCCTAGGCCTCGCCGGCCTTACCCTCGCCGGGACCCTCATCGGCCTCATCATCGCCACCCCTCTGTTTCTGCTCTTCAGCCCCGTCATCGTGCCGGCGTCCATCGCGATCGGGCTGGCGGTGGCCGGGTTTCTCACGTCGGGGGCACTGGGGCTGTCGGGGCTGTCGTCCCTGTCGTGGCTGCTGGAGTACTTCAGGCAGGGGAGGTCGGTGCCGGAGCAGATGGACTACGCGAAGAGGAGGGTGCAGGATGCGGTGGTGACCCTGGGTCAGAAGACCAAGGACGTCGGTCAAACGATTCAGAACACCGCTCAGGATACAACCAGGACGACGGCCTGAATTCATCTGTGGAAGGCCGGAATAATGGAATGAACTGGCGGCGGATGCAATGGGGGCGCCCATGCAATTGAGCTGGCGGGAAGAATAATAAATATATTAATAATAACGTAACAATAATAATAATGTAAAATAGTCCTTAAATTTTACTTAGTATTCGATATTTTTGTTAAGTGCTTAATATAATGTGTTCGTGAGTAGTTGACATTTGTTTAATTTGTATCATCCGATATGATGATCGAGTATAATGTGCTGCCTCCCGTTGTGCTTAATTGTTTTGGTAATTCGTGTATTAATGTATAATTACTAGTATATACTACATTTGACTTTTTGCACTATTCACATATTCTACTTTCATTAATTAATGTATTATAAATTAAATTTTATAAAAATATTGTTAAAATCTCATTCTAAATTTTCAAAATGTGAATTTTTTTAAATTTTTAAATTTTTTAGAGAATGAAAGATATTAATGGTCAAAAAGATATTAATGGTCAACTTGAAACGCGTACTTACAAGAATAAGTATCTCTCATTAGTATTTTAAAATAACTTAATTATTAATAAATAATGAATACTGATTACTAATAATTTTAATAAAACAAATATTTACTAGTATAGTAATATCTAAGGAGTTGTAACTAGTACGTAGTAACTCTTATAATGTAATTTCTAAATTAATACAATTATACTAAAAATATTATAATTTTTAGCATTATTAATACTTTTAATAATATTATATTAATAATTAATTAAATAAAAGAGGTTCCGGTTCCACATTTTTTGGGAAAACCGAAGCGGTCTAGTAAACCTCCGATTCCGAACCGGAAGTACTGTTGTTCTGGTTCCGATTCCGGTCCGGTTAAAAAACCAGCGGTTCAGTTCCGGTTCCAATTTATCCGGTCCGGTTAAAAAACCAGCGGTTCAATTCCGGTTCCAATTTATCCGAAAACCGGGGACATGTCACAACTTTGTCACGAAACCTGTCACGACCCAAAAAAATCTGGTGGGACTTTTTTGTCGCCGGAATTTTGTCACGGATGTCTATTCATGACAAATTTTAAAATTTCACCCGTTTGATTTTGTCACAGATTTTTCGTGAGAAAGTCCCTGACAAATTAAAGCTAATTTCATCAATTTGATCTGGTTGTACATATTCTTTTTGTCACGAAACAAAGTCAGTGACAAGGTTGAATAATCATTGTTCCTACCGATCCCGCCATAGACAGTTGGGAACATAATATTTGTCACATAAATTTCCGTGGCGAAATCCCTAACACATGTTTCTACATATACATGAGACGATACATATACTCTATATATCAATTAAATACATTTAAAAACTATGAAATTGTATAACATCAAAATCATCCAAGCTATTTACTACTTCCGTCTCAATTTATTTGCAAAGTTTGACTCGCACAAGAATTAATTAATGACAATAAATGAAATTTGCTTTTTACAATTGTGTCCATCTTTCAAAAAGTAGATTCCTTTAAGTTAATGAAGAAAAGTAAAAGTGAGGGCAAATTTGTCACTTTATTCTTATTTACATACCTAAAATACAAAGTGGAAAACCATTTTGGAACAACCTAAATAGGAAATTTCGCAAATCAAATTGAAACGGAGGAATTAGTAAATTATTGTAAAGCTTGAGTCTATGCACAAATAAGAACATCCATTTTTGGTTTACTAAAATAACATAATTTATACTACCCCGTCTCATAAAACTTGGCCAATTTTCCCTTTTTAGCCGTTCCAACAACTTTGTCATTTCCATTTAAAGTAATTAATATGTGGCTAAAATTATTTCTCTCTCCCCTACACAAATACCAACCACACAGATTTTACTTTATTATTTTATGTGCTACTAAACGTTGGCCAAGTTTTATCGGGCGGAGGGAGTATATGTTCCTTATTAATATGTGCACCCAGTTTTGTCACTAAATGTCCACTATCATCACGGTGACACTTCAAAACATTTTATGCCATTAAGAAACTCGAAAGAATGAATTCCAAGAAGGAGCTCATTGTCTAAGATTGAAGAACACATTGAATTTGAATTGAAATAGGCCTTATCGTTTTGATGAACCGGTTGAATCACACAATGGGGGGTGAATTGTGTGTGTAGAACTATGACAGTTTTTCATCAAGTTCGAGTGTGGGCAAAGGGAAAATGGAAATTAAAAGGCACAAAGATTTATCGAGAAAAAATCATTTGACTCAACGGCGATTAAAAACCTTGACCTCTCTCGGAGCAATTTGAAAGCTTTTCTCTAAAAGTTATTATACAAGTTACAAGATAAACACACCTAGTTTATAACCTTGAGCCACCCCAACTTTAACCTCTCTAGGTATAGTTCTCACTACCTTACCTTGTGGGTAAGAAGTCTCTCAGATTTACAACAAAACTCTCACTTCACACTCTAACCCTCAGAGATTAACATTCTCAAATGTTCCTCTCAACCCAATACAATAGAATACAAGAAATAGAACCACTTATAGAACTATTGTTGGTACTCGATCTTCTAGGTCATCCTTGTGTGTGCTTGACCAGAGAAGAATATACTCAAAGAAGGAGAGTAGTAAATAACTTGGATGATTTTAGTGTTATAGAATTTAATTAGTCTTTAAATGTATTTAATTGATATATAGAGTATAATGTAATACTTCATTCACTTACTTATACATTTATACTTAGGGAGTATTTGTGATTGTATCTATTTTTAAAAGTGATTTTAGATCATCAAATGCTTTAATAGTAAAAGTTGATAATGTTGGTGAAAAAGTGATTTTTTGAAAAAGTAAAAGTTAATAGTATTTGATAGTATTTTAGCCCTCTACATGCTTACAAGTTTTAGATTTGTACGTTATCTAGTTTAAACGTTTTTTCCAGATCTTTTCTCCTATGTTTTCTCCAACGTTTTCTCCGATTTTTTCTATCCTACGTTTTCTAAGTAAATTTATAATTAAATGTTTTAATTAAATCTTGTTAACCAATAAGAGCAAGACACGTAAGCGATTTATAACTGAGTTTTACTATATAAAACAATAGATCAGGTCTCGGTCCTGTTCCGGTTTTGGTCTCGAACCGGTCGGTCGCAGTTTCAATCACCTGGAGTGACTGATCCCGGTTGTTGGTAAGAGAAGTCCGGGTCCGACCCGATTAAATCCGGGTCTGGGCCGGTTCTGGTAACTGGAGCGGTCCAATCCCGGTCCGGACCCGGTCTATTTTTTTCGTTTCCCCCGTTTTCAAGTAAAAAAAGCTAGTCCAAGACCAAAACCGAGACCGATTGAAGCCGTTCGGTTCGGTTCCCGAATGGGTAAACCGGGAATGGGTAACATCCTTGAGCGGACTATGGGCTTTCTCAAGCTCAAACCCGATCTCGGTCGCAAAAAGTATCAGACTCAGATTACGGACTGGGTCCACCCCTGCTATATCCGGTCGGTCATTTCTTCATTGTTTATTTTTTGAAAGAATGGCAAAAGTATTAGTTGTGGGGTTTTGAAAGACAAATATATGACCATTTTATCTTTTTCCAAAAAAGTAACCAATTAATAGGCCCTCTCCCCCATCCTACGCAAATAACGGCTTCTCCATCTTCGCACAAAATAGCCGCACCCCCCTCTGTCAACCAGAGCTGCATCTCCATCGCGGCAAGCCAGATCCGCACCTCCATCGCCGCACGCCAGAGCCGAACCACCATCGCCGCAGAGCCTCCATCATCGCTATCGTTCGACCGCCGCACCTCATTCGATTTCGATCCCAGGGCTGCGAAAACGGGCTGGCAGCTAGGGTTACTGGCGGAGCTTATTGGATGACGGTTGGAGGCTAGGGTTCGCGAATGTGGGTTGGGGGCTAGGACGGTCATTTGGGGCTGAGGGCAGGGGGGCTGGGGCAAGTCCGGTGGTGTGGCGCAGGGCTGATGGGGATGGGGCAGGGCTTGTGGGGTTGGGGTGTCAAAGGTAGGGTTGGGAAGGGGTGGGTTGGAGTTGGGCTGTTCGTAACCAGAGCCGGGGGTGGGGCAGGGGAGCAGGGCAGTGGAGCAGGGGAGGGGTGCTGGGGAACTGGTGCTTAGGGCTAGGTGCAGGTCAAGGGCGGTGGTGGGGTTTCCGGGGCGGTGGTGGTGGGTTAGGCTGTGGCTGGGGCAGGGGGCTAAGAGCTGTGGACTGGAGGGGAGAAGGAGAGGGGTTGGGGGTATGGGGCGTAGGCTGTTTCGCCCACAAAGGCGGTGTCTTGTGACGCGTGGCGATTTGGATGTATTAATTTTCACCGGGAAAATCGCCGGAAAGTTTTTCCGGTGAGCAAAGTGACATGTTTTACCGATAGTGACATCTGTTAAGTGACACGAAATTGATAGTGACATCTCTTAAGTGACACGAAAATTGACAGTGATTTCATGTTTTCCGAAAATATGACCTTCTTAGCCACTTTTTTGTCCTCCTACAAAAATGGTCACATTTTTGAAAATTGGTTAAAATTTAGTAATATCCAAGGCAAACCCCCTTATTTTTTACTCTAGTGAGACATATGTCCTCCAACCACTGTGAGAGACTGAGAGCCAAAGAGATGCAGACTTGGCACGTTCATAATAGCTTGAGGACAATATATAGTCAAAGGACTAATAGCTGAAAAACTCAAAAAACGGATAAAAATGCATATGTCATATAGTTAAAAGATAAATAGCAGAAAATTCAAGCTAAGAATGAATATAAACAATATGTCATTGTCGATGCCAATAACCGAGACAACTAGAAGTGGGGGAAACTAGACTATTACCGATTTTACCTGTCTCATATTGATTTTACTAGTAGTAAATTTTTTCCTCATGATATTACCATTCATACTTCCTCCGTACCTTATAACTTTGTCATTTTCCCTTTTTTGGATGTCCCAAAAACTTTGACATTTTCCTTTTTAATCAATGAATTTATGGTGCATGTTATTTCTCTTTCCTCTGCACAAATTTCAACCACACAGTTTTTATTTTATTATTTCTCGTGCCGGTCAAAATGACAAAGTATTGAGGGAATATTGAATAGCAAAACTTGTCTAATATTAGATGACATGAAATAATGTTTGGAAACCATGAAATGGTACTATGCAAGGGTTGTTTACTCATTTGTAAAAATCAAATCAAACGGTTAAGTTCCAACAGGTTCCTCGGATCCAAAATCACATCCTTACAACAATGTATTACTCCGTATTTTTTCTTTTTTCTTTTTTTAACTCCGTACTACTTATATATAGTATACTATCGTACAAGATTTTCAAATACACTAATACGGAGTAATTAACAATATACACACTACGTTAAGATTTTAAACACTCCTTACAT